TCCAGGATTAATTTTTCTTCTGCAAATCTTAAAATATAAATTTTGACTACCAGTATCCTCCACATGCACTTCCAATGGACAGAATTTTTAGTACTTTCCACCACTCCCACATCATGGCATCACTGGACATTGTCCCTATGGTCTTCAAGTCTAATTTTTCAAGAGACGGCTGTCTGCAAAAATGTTGCTTATTTGATATGCAAAACGATTTCTCTAAACATATTTCTGTGTAGAGGATGAGGGAAGGAAATTATACCATTTAAAAAGAAGAAATGTTTAAAGACCTTTGAGGTGAATATATTTTAATGTCATTAATATTTGTTCTGCCCTGGCTATGGTGATTTTTTTTTAAAAAAATCTCTAGTGCTGTATTTATTAAAAAAGAAAATATTTTCCTTTCATGAATTCTTGCTCTTCCTTTTTTAGCCAAGAAAGGGAAACATAAGCCAGGCCTGGCTTTGAATTTTCATTTTGCATTTCATTAACATCATTAACTCTGGGCATCATAATAAAGGGCAGAAGGCCCAAATATCTAGCATCACCATTAGCCACTATGTTCGAAACCTCCTGTATCCAGATTTTAGGGGGTCACAGGGCTTGCGACACAACAAGCCACACACTAGCTACTTATTCAGTTCTGAGTATTGTTTAAAATGTTGGTTTTATCCTTTATGTCCTGGTTTCTAGACACGTGCAGGAACTCTATTGGCCTGACCTATTCATACTTTTTAATTAAAAAGCAACCCGTGTATTCTAACATCAATTCTCATAGCTATTTATTTTATTTAACTACTTTTTTGTATTTCCACTGGTAGTCAATGTTCGTGGATATGGTGAAAACAAAGATAGTTTGCAAGGAGAAAAAAGTATAGAGACGTAAATGGCATGGGGATAACTATTATTAATTAATATTAAGTATTAATATTCATTAGTATCTTAGTATTAATGAGCTATTAGTATAATTAATTAATTGACTGGTATATTATATTATTATGGATCTTCGCACAGTCAGCCAGATGTTCAGACTGGATTTGGCATTTTGTCTACCTATCGAATCCTTACCCAGGACCTGGGATAGGCAGATGTGGATGTTTGATGGTATTACAGATATCATCGCAGGATGGAAGCAGTTCCTAGTAAGGCCGCCTTTGCAATTGATTAATAGCGAATTTGTCAATGCCAATGGTGTTCAAGTGGTGCTCCAGTTGTTTTGGGATTGCACCCAAGGAGCCTATGACTATTGGTACTACCGTTGCTTGCTTTTGCCACAGTCTTTCTATTTCTATTTGTAGGTCTTTGTATTTTGTTATCTTCTCCAGTTCTTTCTCTTCTATTCTGCTGTCTCCAGGCACTGCCACGTCCACTATCCAGACTTTTTTGTCTTTCTTATCGACAATTGTTAAGTCTGGGGTGTTATGTTGCAGGTGCTTGTCTGTTTGAATTCTGAAGTCCCAGAGCAGTTTAATTTTATCATTTTCTATTCCTTTCTCTATTTTATGATCCCACCAGTTTTTGCTTACAGGCAAATGATATTTTTTGCAGATCTTCCAATGCACCATTGTTGCTACTTTGTCATGCCACTGCTTGTAGTCAGTCTGTGCAATCTTCTTGCAACAACTTACCAGGTGGTCCACTGTTTCTTCAGCTTCTTTGCATAGGAGGCACTTACTGTCTGTTGCTGTCTTCTCGATTTTGACTTTATATGCATTTGTCCTTAAGGCTTGGTCTTGTGCAGCCAGAATTAGTCCCTCGGTCTCTTTCTTCAATTTTCCTGCTCTTAGCCATTGCCAGGTCTTGTTGTTATCTGCTTTCCCAGCTATTTTTTTAATGTATTGGCCATGTAGCGCTTTGTCTTCCCATGCCTCTATTCTGTTCTTCATTTGGTCTTTCTTGTAGGCCAGTTTGGTCTCTCCAGTAGTCAGTAAGCCTTCCTGATATACTAATTTCAGTGCATCTTCATCATTGTTCTTCAGATATTCTTCCAAATCCATTTTTTCTTCTTCAACCATCTGATGTACTTGTAGCATTCCACTCCCACCTATTTGCCTTGGTAGATAAAGTCTATCAATGTCACTGCGTGGATGAAGGGCATGATTCATTGTCATTATTTTTCTGGTCTGCCTATCCATTGCTTTTAGTTCTGCTTGAGTCCAGTCCACTATTCCAGCTGTGTACCTAATGACTGGGATTGCCCAGGTGTTGATTGCCTTTATAGTATTTCCTCCATTGAGTTTGGACTTTAAGATCTTCTTCACTCTCTTGATGTATTCACCTCTAATCTTTTTCTTGACTTCAGTGTGCTTGATGTTGTCAGCTTGAAGGATACCCAAGTATTTGTAGTAATCTTCCTCATCCATACTCTTAATGTTATTTTCGTGGGGCATCTTGATTCCTTCAGTTTTCACTATTTTTCCTTGTTTGATAGTAAGTGTGGCACATTTGTCCAAGCCAAACTCCATTACAATATCTTGCTATATATACGGACAGTGTTGAGCAGCGATTCTATTTCAGATGATGTTTTTCCATACAGCTTCAGATCATCCATGTAAAGGAGATGGGATAGTCTAGTAGATGTTTTTGATGTTTGATAGCCATGTCCTGAGTTATTCAGTATTGTTGACAGAGGAAACAGTGCAATAACAAATAGTAATTGTGACAATGAATCTCCTTGAAATATTCCTCTCTTGATATTAACCTCTCCCAGTCTCTCACCATTGATCTGTAACTGTGTCTTCCATTGTGCCATCGATCTTTGCACAAATTTTGTGATGTTTCTACTGACTCCTGTTATTTCTAGGCACTTGATTATCCAGTCATGTGGCAGAGCGTCAAATGCCTTTTTGTAGTCAATCAATGCCACGTTCAGGTTGGTCTTCCTTTTCTTGCAGTTTTCCAAGATCATTTTGTCTATTAGGAGCTGATCTTTTGTTCCTCTGCTATTGGGGCAGTTTCCTTTCTGCTCAGGTGGAAAGAGATTGTTTTCAACTAGATGCTGTTGTACTGCATCAGCTACCACACCAGTTAGTAATTTGAAAGTTGTTGGTAAGCAGGTAATTGGCCTGTAGTTACCTGGTGTTGCCCCTTTTGCTGGATTTTTCATTATTAGGTAGGTTTTCCCAGTTGTTAGCCACTTTTCAATTTCTCCTCCTTGTATTATATTGTTGAATTGCTTGGCAATGAGTGGGTGTATAACAGTTAGATGTTTCAACCAAAACCCATGCAGTTCATCTTCACCTGGTGCTTACCAATTTTTGATTTTCCCTGCTCTTTTTTCTACCAGTTTTGTTGTTATTACTAGTTCTTTCATTTCAACTTCTGTTTTATTTGCATCCACCTCTTTTAACCAAGCCGCCTCCTTGTTGTATTTCTTTGGGTTATCCCATATCTGCTTCCAGAACTGCACTGTTTCTTCCTTGTCAGGTACTGACTGATTCATTGCAGTTTCTCCATTGATGGATTGGTAGAAACGTTTCTGATTGGATTGAAATTGGAGGTTCTGCCTATAGTTTCCAATTCGAGCTTCATATCCACTGATTTTCCTGGCTATAGCTGTTGCTTTATTATTTCCAGTGTTTCCTTGATCTTCCTTGTTGTCTAAGTGGTATTATTATTATTATTATTATTATTATTATTATTATTATTATTATATTAAAACATATTAAGTATGTTTTCTTTCATTTTATTTGATTCCCTGACTGAATTGAAAACTACTTGGACTTTCCAATTCTGCATTGTATTTCTGTTGTGAAAGTCGGAAAGTGGTCCTGCTAAGTAGCCATTTTGTAGGCACAAAGTCTTTCTTTTTGGAGTGCTCAAATGTTAAATCACTCAAGAGTTCTTAATTTGTTAAATGTCCATTTCATTTACACAGCCACAAATTTTCCGACTTCAGTTTGCTGTTATAGATAAGACTAAATTTAATGCAAACCTCTCCTTCAAAATGAACCAGGAAGGAATTTCTTTAGATTAGGGGTTCTCAACCTTGGCAACTTTAAGACTTGTGGACTTCAACTCTCAGCTTTGCTGGCTGAGGAATTCTGGGAGTTGAAGTCCGCAAGTCTTAAAGTTGCCAAGGTTGAGAACCCCTGCTTTAGATAATGTCTCTAATTGATATATCACTATATGGAGAAGATGGATAGATTATATTCAGAAAAAGTATGGAACTAAAAAGTTTCATTTATTTTATGAACGAATATTATAGTAAATATTACAGAGAATTGTCTTATAGGCTATTGGAGTTAAAAGTTAAGTATGATTTTTTTTTTCCTTTTTTTATTATTATTTTTTTTCTTTTTTCTTTTCTTTTTTCTTATTATTATAAATTCTTTTAATTATTAACCCTGTATTCTGCTCTGGGAAGTGAAGGGAGGGGGGTTGGGGGTGGGAGGGAGGAAATGTGGGGGGGGTAAGTGTAATATAGATAATGGTTGCTTATAGGGGTGCGGCCTGGGCACTCCCCTTATGCTGCGTTCATGGGTTTGAGAGGGATGAGAGGTGGGCAAGTGTAGAGAGGAAGTAGGGTAGTGAGAGGAAAAGGGGAGGGGAAGAGAGTAGGATGGGAGGTGAGAAAGAGGAGGGAAGTAGGGACTGTTTTAAGAGAGGGTGGACGCAGCCTGGGGGGAGTGCGCAGGTCGTAATAATGTTTATTTTATCTTAAAATTGTATTGTATACTTTTTTTTATAATGTTTATATGGAAAAAATAAAAAACTTTCATTAAAAAAAAAGATAATGTCTCTAATTGTTTCTTTGTATTATGACCTATCTAAAAATTTGTAAAAATCACAACGTATTGTCTAAAATGATTAAGTGGCAAATGTTTTTCCATAAAGCATTCACTATCTTGTGAATTCTGGGAGTTGAAGTCCATATATCTTAAAGTTGCTGAAGTTGGGATAGACTGGCCTAGATAACTTTGCCTTCTATACTTTGGTTATATTGGCCTGAGAATTTTCTTTCTTTTTTACTCTCTTTTGCAATGAAGGCTCAAATCTTGGTCCCTTTAGTAGTTTTGAGCCTGGCACAGTTGAAAAAATGAAAAAGGCAGAAATCAGGTTAAACAAAGAAAAAAAAAGAAAAGAAAAAAGAAAGGAGGGAGGGAGGGAGAGGGGGAGGGGAAATATTTTTTACGTTTTTATTCCTCTCAGATATTACAGCTTGTAATTGTGCGGACTGCAGAAATCCATAGCATATTTGGATTCTTCCTGGAATGGATGTTATGTAGAATTCGGCTGAAACCACGTAAAATTACTGAAGTCTTTAAAATGTTATTTGTTCTCCCGCTACTAATTTATGATATTCCACAGCAACCCTTCAAGGCCCTGAAAAGTCTCTTCAAGCCATTTCATGACCATAAGGCAATTCACTTGCAAGGCTGTTACAAGTTCTCTTCCTAACATTTGTGCCCTTGAACCCACCGTGAAAAAGTCCCAGGTAAAATTCTGGGAAGATGTTTCTTTAACTGTAGCAAAATCATCTAGCCATTTCTTGGCTGCTGCAATGTAATTATCCAATAACTGTTCTAAGAATTTTATATGTTCTTCTATGTGCTGGATTTGCGTTTCAGTATATCTTTTGAGGTTACTACCTTGCATCCTCAGGGCTTTGTAGACAATTAGAGGGGCTTCCTCCAACCACATGTACAAGGTACTATTAGAATAGTCCAGCCACGGATCTGCTTTACTGATATCTTCATTCCAACATTTGTCACGGAGTACCATCTCTTTAGCCAGTATATAGTCAGGATGTTTCATATAATTGTTGTGAAACTCTTGGAGGGCCCAAAAGTACATACTGAGCCACACGTTAAGATCTCTAGTATGGTCTTCGAGCCATTCCCCCAAGTTCTTGATATGGCTACTTGCCAGCTTGTCTAAAGCTCCTACTTGCTCTTTCATTGATTGGTCAAACTTTTGCAAGAGAAGAGCTATGGTTTTAATGTGGTCTTCAAATCTTTCTCCAGCTACCTAGTGAACACAATGCATGTGAAAAGAAATGGGACAGTGGTCTTAATTATATTCTCTTTGTATGTGTACATACAAACGTACGTCACTCATGCATCAAAAGAAATCACCGTTTTTAACAAGTGCCATGTAAATTGAAGGAAAGACAAAAGAAATGGCTCTTCCGGAGTGCATAGGCTGGGGATGCAGGAAGATGTTCCTTGCAATCTACAGGAAGACTATAAATCCAAGACCACTCTTAATTTTTTTTTTTTTAGTAACCAGTAAGGAGAGATTTTATAGTGACCAGTAGCTGTTGGCAGTCTTATTATCCATACGTTTGTCTTGCCCTTTTCTGCTCTGGAGTGGTCTGTGAAGGGGACAGATGGGGCATTTTTTTCCCATCCTAAATGGCTCTGATGATGATTAGGGAAACTACTCCGAAACTAGGCACAGGGGAATTGATATTACCCCAATTGGCTTAATTACTTGCACACTGTATGTTAAATTTCCAAGGACCACTTTAACTCCTAAAATTAAGGCTTATTTAATATTGGCAGATGGATGTATTACATATATGTGCATTAATACCGGGCATTTCAGCCTCCACAGTGGTATGGCAAAGTTCACTTCACTCCTTAGTTTCTTTCTATAAGATTTAACTGCCTCATTTGATCTAGATGAAATCCAATGTTTGCCTATGAATGTGCACAAGAGTACACTTACCTGGTGGACAACTTTTAGGAATTAATTGTTGAGAATTGAGTTTTTCATGGAGAAACAGAAGCTGCTTTCTTTTTCTTTTGTGACATTTTTGTTTTCAAATAGCCAAAAGCTGTTTGGAACCAGCTGCATTTTATTGACTGTGTAGCTACTATAAAGCAGTTATGGAGAAACTCACAGCAAAACCAATTTACCAATAACTAATGGTCATATTGTCTGGGAAATGCATTTAGAGGTCACTAGACTGGGAAAGCTGGTTTAATAGAACTTCTTTTGACATAATGACATAATCATCTTGTGAAAGGCAAATCTACATCAGTGTAACACATTGTACCTGAAGAGAGTGGTACCAAGAGTAACTTCCATCTTGGGGCTCTTTCCAGGAGCTCCAGGTTCTCTCTGGCCAAAGAAAACATTGATAAGTTAGTGTGTAACATTCATTGTCTTGTAAAAGGGCTCTAGAGAATTAGGTTAAGCTTAAACAGAATGCATGTTTTCTTTAGAAGTAGTTGTATCTATGTTTTTAGGATACAGAAGAGTCAAGTTCTTCCATCCATAGGGACAGAAATATTTTGAATCCTTCTATTTGTCCTTAACAAAAATAAACTTAGCCTTAAGTTCTATTAGCAGATGTTTAATGAAGCAGAATACCTTTTAAAATCAGTAAAGCTTGTGGCAATGGAATGAAGCTGAAACTAGCAAGATCTGTAACAGTTGGAGTGCTCCAAATCCTGATTGCAAAGCAACTTGTGGGACCTAGGAGACAAGCCTTCTTGGTAGTGTGAGATTCATATGGACTCAGCCCTGTTGGACTTCCATAAAGCTATAAAAACCTGAGTCATGGTCTGAAATATAATGGTGATGTCTGCTTCCAGGTCTAATTTTTGATGGGGATGTGTTCAAATTCTTCTTTTCCCTGATGTCTACTCTGATCTTAAGTGCTTATTTGTAGCTATTACTTATCTGTTGCTTTTACCCTTATGGTGTAAACTACCTAGGGTTCAACTTGAAAACTAACTATGTAAATGTATGTGCTGTCTGGACTATCATGTACCTAATGGAGATTTGAATTAAAATTATAACTTTGATAAAGGTGCAGTCATACATACTTCACAAAATACTTTTGAGGAGATGTGCCTATAAATCAGCGGTTCTCAACCTATGGGTCACGACCCCATTTGGGGTCGATCGACCATTTCACGGAGGTCGCCAGGCAAGGCTGTCCGCCATTTTTTCCCCTTTTCCGGCGGGTGCCTTACCTCCCTTGGGCTGGGCCAGCTGGTGGCCCAGCCGGTGGTCGGCCTGCTCCGTCTCTGCTGCTTGCCAGCTATGCCTCGGCCGGCACAGGGGGCGGCACCATGCATGCGCGGTGCTCCCGGGAAGGGAAAGTCCTCGACTTATGACAGTTGGGTAGTCCTCGACTTACAACCGATTTAGTCCTTGACTTATGACCGGTTGGGGGGTCACTGCATTAAAAAGGTTGAGAACCACTGCTATAAATGTATTATACCCCCATTTCAGGGATGAGGTACCTGTGGCCATTCCGCTGTTATGAACTACAACTCCCAAGATTCCTCACCAGACTAGGCCTGCTGGGAGTTGTAGTTTAGTAACACCCCAAGGACCGAAGTTCTTCACTCCTGATGCAGCATGGAAGCTGTCTTTTCGGGTGTCAATTTGAGAAGCCTGCCACTGAATCTGGGGCCCCAAACTTCAATCTACAGCAGGGCTCCCATAATAGTTTTCTGTGCTGAGGATCCTATTGCAGTTGGCTCTTCGTGACATGAAGGGCTTTGTCTGAACAATGGCTGATTATGAACAGGACATATTCAGCAAAGGAGAAATTATTCCGGTTGTGATTCATCCTTGTTTCAATCTCAGCCAAGAGTTTGCTTTTTATACTCTGTGCAAAAGAAAGGGTGTAGGTACTTCCTATGTAGAATTTTTATGCGTGATGTTTATTTGGAGTTACTTTGGTGTATGTTTTGACTTTGGCAAAAGTTGTAAGGTTATAATTAAAGAAAAGCAAACATCTTTCACAGGCACAGCTGATTAGACTGATTAGGCAATCTTTTCTATGCATGATCAGCTCTGGGGACTGCAGTTTGACACATCTTCAGCGGAGGTTGTGCAGCTAAAATTGCTAGGGAGAAAGTTGATTGCTCTTTTAGAGAAGAGAAAATGTTTTTGATCTTCATATATTAATTTACAAAGAAGGAGAATAAGAAGTGATCATTGCCTGTGGAAATTCTCTCGGGCATAGTTCTTGGATTTCACAGAGCTTAGTTATCAGCAGCTTCATTTATTTAGTTATTTATGAGACTTATATACCGCTTTAAGTGCAAGCACTCTCTAAGTGGTGTACACCAGTAAGCAATGTATATGTATATATATATATATATATATATATATATATAATATATATATATATATATATATATATATATATATGGTACAAATAAAATACGAACACCAGGAGAGTATAAATATAAAAATATACTTTACTAAAAGCTGCCAAGCTTTCGTTTGGAAACTCCAAACATCATCAGGGCTAAGGAGCCAGTAAACAATGATGACTTAAATGGGTTTTGCCGGCATCTGCACCCGGCTCATGGACCACGTCACCGGTCCCGGCCGGTTAATTAGGGAGAATTGAGAGACGGGGTAAGCACCCGATCACGCAGCAAACAAATGGAACGGTGGAGAACTGTTGACACGAAGATTGCCAGGACGGAGGAGGGGGGCATAGACCCCCAAATATGCAACACCCGTATGAAAGTTACTCATGACAGTGGAAGAGTGAGAAGAAAGGGTGTGGAGCAGGGATTGAGAAAAACGTGTGTGTGGGGGAGCGTCTGTGAGCCCAGGGAAGCTTGTAACACTGATAGAGGAGAAACAGATGCCCCCAGGGTGGAGAATGAAAACAAAAAGGGGAGGAGGGTCAGTGCTATGGAAGGAAATAAGGATAAAGGGGTGGTGGAGGAGATGAATACCAGTAATGAGATAGTGGAAGGAATGATCCGGAAGAACCATAGAAGGAAGCGTAAGGAGAGTAATAAAGAAACATCTGGAACACTAATTAACCGGCCGGGACCGGTGACGCGGTCCATGAGCCGGGTGCAGATGCCGGCAAAACCCATTTAAGTCATCATTGTTTACTGGCTCCTTAGCCCTGATGATGTTTGGAGTTTCCAAACGAAAGCTTGGCAGCTTTTAGTAAAGTATATTTTTATATTTATACTCTCCTGGTGTTCGTATTTTATTTGTACCATAGACATGCCCAGGAGTCGTATTTTTATGCAAATTTTCCAATATATATATATATATATATATACATTGCCCCCAACAATCTGGGTCCTCATTTTACCTACCCCGGAAGGATGGAAGGCTGAGTCAACCTTGAGCCGGTGAGATTTGAACCGCTGACCTGCTGAACACAGTCAGCTAAAGTGGCCTGCAGTACTGCACTCTAACTGCTGCGCCACCTCGGGTCTTGAACAACTCCATGGGTTTTTTTTTTTTTTTTTGAAAGTGGGAGAAACTAGGAAGTTGTGAAGAGATGGTGTAGAGTAGAAAATATCAACCACAGTTCCTTCCAATCACCCTGTCATTCTAATGCTCAAAAACACCAAAACAAATGCTCAAGCACCCCAGAAATGAGCTTGAAAAACTGGATTGGGAAAAGAAGAGAAACACCGTATTAGAACTGGACAGCTAAACACAACTTTGACCTGCATCTATGATATATGCTACAGATGTGATGAAGGCACAGTCATACAGATATGCTCTTTACAAATGGTGTGCAGGGAACTGTGTATCACGATGGGAGGGATGGGAGGATCTGCTCAGAAGAAAGAAGACCATTGTATTGGATTGATATGATTCTGCGTGCATATTTAAAAATATTTTTATCTCTTTCTATCCCATTTGTGATTATTCTGCCATAGTACACAAGACAGCATAGAGGATGAGCCTCTAACTATGTTTGGCAAATATCTGGATAAAAGATCCAATGGAGCTAACTAACAAAATGAAATTCAACGTAGAGAAAAGTAAAGTCTTACACTTAGACAAGAAAAACCAAAAGTACACATATAGAGTGGGTGAAACCAGGCTTAATAGCAGCAACTGTGACAGAGATCTTAGAGTCTTAGTGGACAATCAATTAAATATGAGTTAACAGTGTGTGGCGGCAGCCAAAAAAGCCAATACAATTCTAAGTTGCATTAATAGAGGGAGTCAATCAAGATCCTGTGAGGTACTAATACCACTCTATAAAGCCTTAGTAAGCCCACACCTAGAATACTGCAACCAGTTTTGATCTCCACACTATAAAAAAGATGTTGAGACTCTATAAATAGTGTAGAGAAGAGCAACAAAGATGATTAGGGGACTGGAGGCTAAAACATATGAAGAACGGTTACAGGAACTGGGCATGGCTAGTCTAGTGAAGAGAAGGACCAGGGGAGACATGATAGCAGTGTTCCAATATTTGAGGGGCTGTCAAAGACAGGAGAGGGTCAACCTCTTTTCCAAAGCACCTGAAGGCCAGACAAGGAATAACGGATGGAAACTGATCAAAGAGAGATTCAACCTGGAAATAAGGAGAAATTTCCTGACAGAACAATCAACCAATGGAACAGACTGCCTTCAGATGTTGTTGGTGCTTCATCACTGGAGGCTTTCAAGAAGAGACTGGACTGCCATCTGTCAGAAATGGTGTAGGGTCTCCTGCTTGAGCAGGGGGTTGGACTAGATGGCCTACAAGGTCCCTTCCAACTCTGTTATTCTATTCTAACTGGACAGAGCTTTATTTTAAAGTTTGTATACAATGTTAATATAAACGAGTGAATAGATCCTTTCACAACTCTGCCAAATGATTAGTAACACCCTTCCTTGTGATTACTATCTATTCCAATTGTCCTTCCAGAGTACAGATTATGAAAGAAAATGAAGGTTTCCTTCTAGCTCAGTGGTTCTCAACCTGTGGGTCGGGACCCCATTTGGGGTCAAACGACTATTTCACGGGGGTCGCCAAACCACGCTGTCCGCCATTTTTTTTCCTTTTCCCTAGCTGTCCTACTCCCTCTTATTGGTGGCCACACCCACTTGGGGGTCACCACAACATGGGGAACTGTATTATGGGGTCACGGCATTAGAAAGGTTGACAACCACTGTTCTAGCTCTTTTGGATAAACTATCCTACTTTGGACATGTTACATCAGTGGTTCTCAACCTGTGGGTCGGGACCCCATTTGGGGTCGAACGACCATTTCACGGGGGTCGCCAAACAACGCAGTCCGCCATTTTTTCCCCCTTTTCCTTAGCTGTGCTACTCCCTTTTATTCTATTGGCTTTTGAAAGCCAATAGAATAGACTCTCTTAAATAGAGTCTAATTCTATTGTCTTTCAAAAGCCAATAGGAATTGTCCAGGCTGTCTCTGCCCTGCTGAGCCCGCCAAAAGTCCCATTCTGCAAACGGTGCTGCACCAGTTGAGTAGTCCTCGACTTACAACTGGTTGAGTAGTCCTCGACTTACGACCGGTTGGGGGTCGCGGCATTAAAAAGGTTGAGAACCACTGTGTTACATGAAAACCCGGCTCTCCAGAGAAGGCTCTAATGCTAAGAAAAGTGAGAAAAAAGAGAGGAAGCGGACGGCCAACAGCAGATGGAAGGACTGACTTGTGATGGTGGTGATGGATGCACTGTTGGAAGACCTGAAAGATCTTCATGAAGAAAATCTATCTATGTCAGCAAAGCTGGCTGGAGAATCCTGGGAACTGAAATCCACACATTTTCAAGTTGCCAAGGCTGAGGAACACTGATCTGTGCAATTGCTTTGAATTGACAAGAACTTGATGGCATATAATCAAACAAACTTTGCTGGTAAGAATATTATCAATATATAAATGTGCGTATATTTAATATCTACATCTTTAAAAAAAAACATGGAGATCAGAAACAATGGTTTTTAAACTGGAGAATTAATATTATTCTTACTACTATTGTTTTTCTAGACAACTAATTCTCTGTGGCTTAATAGAAATATATTATAAAGAAAAATAGAACAAAGGCTAACATAAAAACTGCACAACAATACAAAGAAACTAAAAATCAGAAAGAAGAGCAATACATTCAGAATTTAAAAGACTGTAATATGTAACAATTACATGGTTATATTATAAAAAATTCTGGGTTTTTTTCATGCCCGTGAAAATAAAAAACAATCATCTGAGCTGCTTTCGGAAGCGTTCCACAAACAGGATGCCATCCCGAAAAGATTTATGATTTCAATGAATTCTTATGTCCCTTGTTCCCAGTGACTCTTCTTATCCTCAGAAACAAACATGCAAATGGAAATATCCTTGGTGGAATAAATTCCAGTGTCCAGGTGTAGATTTATAGAAGGAAATGATCCTTACCAGGAATGAAAGTCATCACGTGCAGTGTCAAAAATAGTAGTAGGTTCATGATCAATATAAATGCACCTGTAAGAGTCAGAAAGAGAATTCAGTCAATGGATCTGTTGCTGAAAGGGTTGCCAGTTGGAGTGTGTTCACCTCAGATGAAACAACGGAAACCTTTTCTGTAAAAGCGGCCAAAATCCTCATACTGTACACACAACAGCCGATATGGATTTCCACCTGACCAACACCAACAATCAAGTCACGCTACCCAAATATAGGAGGCCTGCTGAGAACAACTTTGAACAACTTGTCTTTGAAACAAAATTTATGCCAGGGTAGGAAGATATGCCAGATAGTGATTCAGAATACCCTGCTACCCTCCCTTTTTTTTTCTATAGTTAAGATATATACAAAGTGCTTCTTGATAATAGTTTTGTACAGGCAGTCTATAAATGGGACCATGTGCCTGAAGTCATACACTTTAAAGTTCAATGTGTTCCTGCTGTAGCTGTCTCTCTGCTACATAGCAACGCCCTTAACTGAGCTGATGGATTCTGTGGATGGATTGGTGATTGACTTCCTCAAAGCTGATAGTCCTTGGGCATTTTAATTTATCTCTAGGCAGCAGTGAATTTGGGGGCACTGAGGAGTTCATGGTCCCCATGGCAGTAATGGACCAGTATTGAGGGTCTAGTATATGTTTGAGGACTCACACAAGATCTGGTTTTGGTCTTGGAGCAGTTGCAACCTCTATCTGAAGATAGAGGACATTACCACCTGTTCTTTGTCATAGTCAGTTCATTCTCTGATTGCTTTTCGGCTAATTGGTGCTTCCTCTCCTTGCAAGGAGAAAGGGCCTATTGGAACAGTCCAGCCCAGGCACCTAGCGGAACATCTGAAGTAGAAGGGGGTTGGAAGGAGAGTTTTATTCCCTTGAACGGTGTTTGCTTTATAAATGTTTGTTTAAGGAATTGTTGTTCTTTTAACTTTCTGAAGCTACCTGGAATTGTTTGGAGTCAGATGACTTACAAACTTAACAAACAAGCAACTGAAATACATTATAAATAATAGGAAAAGAAGCAACATGTGTGTGTAAAAATCATCATAAACTCATGCATATGTCACACATGTGAAAGTCTGCCATGTGTTTCCTCAGTGCTACCAATCACAATTTCCAAACAAGAACGCTTTGCCAATTAACAAACTAATCGATAACATATTGAACACTAGAATAATAGGAATAGAGTCCTTCTAAACAGCTACTTTAAAGCAAATGATTGTTCTACCCAGGGGAAGGGGGTGGAGAAGGACCTATTCTAATGGTTTACTTTTCTAATCAATTAATTGATGATGCAAGTTCAGAACCAGAGACCTCTGAGCTTGTTGCCATTTTAGTATGTGATCATCAAGGGTTTGTCCATCACTGCAGCCCACATGCTTCTCCAGAAGCTGCTGCTCAAAGTACATGGATATCTACAGCAAATCTATTTATCCCAGAAAGAGTTAACAGGAGATGGGCCATCCTTACCAGGTTCAAGAATTCTCCATTCCATTATGATCATTTTACCTTCTAAGGCAGAGCTGGATCAATGAGTCTTCAGATTGCAAATGGCTGATGTGTCTCTGTGGGTATCCCCTCTCCCAATACCTTGTTTTTAAACCACCTTTTTCCAGCCTACTGTCCCCTACTGCAATTGTGACAGCAACTTCCAGACTTCCCAGCCAACCTCACCGAGTTGTCTGAAGAGGCAAGAGTTACACTTTATTTCCTTTAAAACGTTAGAAGACAAATAGCCCACCTATGATGATTCTCTCCTCCTGGTTACTCAACTGTCAAGCAGGGAGGATAAAAAAAAACATGTTTGGATATTTTAATTCCTCAACATGAACTGAATGCCCAGTCCTCACCTCCTGTCATTGCTACTTAGCAAAGAAATAGAGCAACTATACTTTCCTCTCCTCTCTTCTTTCTTTAGGCATACTGTTGAGTGACTTGAGTCCTGTTGCAATTCCTGAACTGTACTGGAGACTATTTGAGGTGATTTCCATAACAACCAGTGATGCTATAAAGGCCGGAGCCTTACCAGGTGGAAAATAAAGGGAAAGGTAGGCACAGTAATAAGGATGGCATGCACCAGACTTTCCTGCCCTTGCGCCTTCCAAATGTATTCAACTACTACCTCCTATAATTCCACATCTCCAGGGAGAAGCTAGGAATGCCTGGAGGAGCCAGAAAAGAGCAGATGTTGAAAGAATCGTGGTAGCAACTGGCCAGGTACATAGGGAGGACTGTAAGGAGAAGAAGGGATCTGTGTGTTCTCAGTGAGGAAATGGCCTCTGAATGGATGGCAGAGAAAGAGAGAAAGAATTTAAGAGGTATTCAAAGACTGAGGCTGATTGTATTTTGGCAATGTGGGGTTTTGTGTTTGTTGGTTTTGTAGCCTCGGGTTCCACAAGGTGGGGGAAAATGTCTTCTGAAAAAGTTTGGGAACTGCTGGCCTAGAGCATTTTGAAACACCTAGCTGATCCCACTGGAATGGCAGGAGTGGGAGGCCTTTGGTTGGATTCAATAAGATTCTGCTTGCAGTTGAGATAAATTGCTCGTTCAGCAGGAGGGGCCAAATTATTTGGCACATGCTTTTCCCTTCAAAACCTGCCATTTCAAACAACATCAGCCAGTGCTACTGCATTCATTCAGTTCACGAGCAGATGCCAGCGGCTCCTCTCTTCTGCTGTTATGTCTTGAAGCAAGAAACTAGAGGGAGAAAGGAACCAGTCCAAGGCACCTAGCCAGGTGGCTAGCAGAATTGTCAGGGCTGAGAACCTAGACAGATGTACCTCACTATCCACATCTGCTCTTTCAAAGAGACTAAATACTCTCCCAGTGATTGTTCTGGGCAGCACACACCATTGGTCCAAACCATTTATTTTGATCACAAGTTTCAAATCAGACATCAAGGTCGTTTTCCACTACAACAAAAATATTTAACCTCCCCACTCCTCCTCCCACTTTTGGGAATTGTTAGTGTGGAGAAGTGGCAAGAGAATTAATATTTGGAAAAGTTTTGTTGGGGAGTGGGGAGAAGAAAAACAAAAACCTTCTGCCAAATAGTCCTTCCACTCCACTGGCTGGCCAGTCTCGAAGGGTTTCCATTCCAGAATGTCTGCAGTGGAATGAATGAATCACAGGAAGCCCTCAGGGATTCTTGCAGCCACATTCATTATTCTGTCCAGGGCATCAGACATCACCTGTAGATGAAGGGAGTGGAAAACTTTGCTGTTTCTACAGTGCACATCATTATACCACAGTGTACAATTAGCCATATGTATGCAGTTAATCGCTGCCTGGAGAATGCACGAGGAGAAGAAAAAGTCAAGCATGCTTATATAATATGCAGCGTAAGGCTGTTTTGGAGATTAACAAACTAGATTTTTCTTTTAAGGTTGTGGCCAGTAGAGTTGATTTCTAAAACAAGAAACAAAGAAGGACAGTAGTTTTTATTATTATTTTAAACACCTGGGAGAAACGTCTCGATTGAAAATTGTTGCTATACTTGTTTGCCAAAATCAAACCTAGAAATCTCTGAGTCTCTATTCACAAGCAGTAATTGAGATGAATATTGAATGGACATCAGTCTTAAAATAATTCCAAGTATTATATACACCTCTGTTCCGCAAAGTATACTGGCTACTGGTCTGCTCCCAGATATAGTTCAAGATGTCAGTTATGATCTTTAAAGACAGCATGCTGGCTGAGGAATTTTGGGAATTAAAGTCCACAAGTCACAAAAGGGCCAAGTTTGAAGACCCCTGTCTTAATGAGATAGGTCCAAGCTATCTCGTCCCACTAGGACCAGCTGCCTTACTTGTGCAGGCAGAGAGGGCCTGCTTAAGAACCCATCAGTGAAAGAATTCCAGCTATCAGGATCCAGAAGAAGAGCCTTCTCTGCTGCCCTTTGGAACATCCCACCCTCCAAAGTGAGATATGCCTCCACCCTCCTATCCTTTCATGTTGTTGTTAATTGCAAAGTCGTGTCCAACCCATCGCGACCCCATGGACAATGTTCCTCCAGGTCTTCCTGTCCTCTACCATCTACCATCCTTTCATAAGAACCTGAAAACATGCTTCTGCTGTTGGCCTGGGGACCCAATGCGAGAGTACCACCCTGGGGGTGGCCATTAGATTGATAGCAAACTCCACCTCCCCCATTGCTCCCTGCTTCCCCACCCACCCATCTTTTATTCTCATATCTCTGAATTCATGTTGCTTTCTTTTTCATTGTTTATTCTATTGTTCCATCACTTTTATTGTAAGCCGCCTAAGGCAGGGGTCCTCAACCCCCGGTCTGTGGACTACTACCGGCCGTGGCATGCCAGCAACTGGTCCACACAAACAAGCAAAGCACCATCCGCAGGATGCAGGAAGTACACAAAACCACGCACCCTCCAGTCCGCAGAAAAACCTCTCTCATGGAACCGGTCCCTGATGCCCAAAAGGTTGGGGACCTAGGGAAGCCCCACGGTAAGATAGGCAGCAAATAAATTTAACAAATGAATATTAAATGAATGTACAGATGTGGCAGTTACTCAGAAAGAAAACATGTGGTGTAATATGAATGAATCATATGTAATCATAATGAATCATAAATGAATATGATTTCAGTGACCGGAGCATACTTCAGAGTACTGATTTTCCCTCTGCATTATATGAATATTTCATAATATCATCTAAACTTGGATAAGTTAGTTTCTTAATTCAACATTTTTATATCCCATCTTATTTTTTTATAAATAGCAAGCAGCGAACACACACAATATTCCTTCCTCCATCTATTTTCCTCATTACAACAGCTCTGTGAGGTGGGTTGGGTTGGCCCAAAAATCACCCAGCTGGCTTCCATGCGTAAGGTTGGATTAGAACTCATCGTCTCCTACTTTCATGGCTGATGCCTTAACCACCCAGACCAAACTGGATTTCTTCTGAATAATAACAACAGTTACAACGGCAACAACAGACCTCTCCCAATCAAATACAAGTTGGTCATTCTTCTAAGTTCTGGGAAGAAATGCTAATTCCATCT